CTTCAACAAAGTACTGAGTAAAGGGTCTGAATACTTAAGTACATATGATATTTCAGTTTTTCCTTTTTAATAAATTTACAGACATTTCTAAAATTCTGTTTTGATACAAGCATGTTTTTCCCTCAGAAGTTAAAAGCAATAATCAGTTAGCTCTCAACTTAGCACCCTGGGAAATTTTCCTCAAAACTTCCTTACTAATAAAATATCCCAATGGTGGAAATTTAACTAACAAAAAGATAAAAGGCAACTGTGCAACTGCTTCACAGGTTACTTTTACACCCAAAAGATTGCTAGGAGAGGCATAGTCACATTTCCTTTTTTTTCTTCCCGATAGGAATTCACTGGGTTTATTATATTAGACAAACTATTCGACAATGTATTCAGACTTCTCTTCCTGCCATCCAAATGCGTTGGGCTACAACTCCACCTCCCAGCCAATACCGTCAATAAGCCTTATAATCCTTCTGGAGGGCATTTGGGGGGAAGGCTGGCATAGGAGCATGAATGCGGGTGGTCTGCAGTAAAACAGCATGGAAGAGGAAGACTAAAACCGATGCTTCCGGGGGTCGCAAAGCAAGGCACTCGCTGTCACAGGCATCCCGTCCGCCCGCTGTACCTGCAGGTAATCTATCCGGTTCAGACTCAGTTCCATGGCGATAGTCTTTTACAAGTTACCAAGGCTGGCTTTGGCTTCCTCCTTCCAGTGCTCCGCGGGCATCAGTATCGCGAAAGCGGTTCTCCGACCCAATCAACAAGTACGGCCTAAACTACCTCCAGGTCTCCCGTTACTATGACGACGAGGCAGGCTTGCGTAAATCATGACCATCCCCCGGCTTCAATTGGAGGCGACGGGCTCTTGGGAGGCGAGCTCCGCTTTAAACGCGCCTCCTGATTGAAGAAGGAGCTGTCACTCAAGTAAAAAAAAAAATCACCGGCTCGTGGATTAAAGAGCATCTAAAAGGTGGAGATGATCCCAAGGAAGAGCGGAAGTTATCCACAGAAGCGGAGTCTTCGATTTAGCACGAGAGCCCCGATCGTGCGAGAAGCTGGAACGACGAGAATAGTTTAGACCGGTGTTTCTCAAATGGCTGGCTGAAGAATTCTGGGAGCTGAAGTCTTAAAGTTGCCAAGTTTGAGAAACACTGGTTTAGACAAATGCATGTATTATTGCACCAGCTTTCCATTGAAGCGGTCTTTTCACGTGGGGCACTACTCATAGCTAAATGAACTGTGGTTTATGTGGTTTATAGTTAACCATGTAGTTAACCATGACCTGTGGTTTATGTGGTTAACCATGAATCATGGTTTACTCAGTTAATTCCATGTTATGGGGTTGTACGATACACTGCAATACCAACTACAGGTAGTCCCCAGTTTAAGAACGAGTTCTGTTCCCAAAGTCTGTCCTTAAGTTGAATTTGTATATAAGCTGGAACAGTATTATTGTATAATACTGTATAAGTAGTATCGTGTAAATAACTCAAACCATTGTGTATTTAACTCAAATCATTGTGTGTTTAACTTGAGTTTTGCTACAATAGGCTCTGTTCTTAACTATGGGTCGTCTGTAAACTGGGCATTCTTAACACGGGGAGTTCCTGTAATCTCAAGTTGATATAACACATCTATGAATGGTTGACTAGTTTGTGGTTCATCATGCTATGCAAATAACTAATCAGGTGTATGCAGCATTATCCTTTAGTTGCAGATACGTACAGAAAAATGTGAACAGATGTTAAATAATAACATGCAACAAAAAGTGACAATTGAGCTGAATTTTAAGTATGTGCAGAAGAAGCAGGATGATCATAACTGCTGTGATTAGTGAATGCGCACAGTGCAATTTGTATCTGTTAAAAAAGAAGATTCATTTAGTTCCAGTGGCTTAGCTTTAGATCAATGAGTACTGGACTGCCTGAATTAGAATCCTGTAATCAACTCTTGCCAGGTTGCGGTAGAGAGAGGTGGGAAGCCATTTAGCTCTTCCTTCTCTCAACTATCCTCTAGCAGCGAGTATGTTCGAGATATTTTACTGCCAAAGATCTCACGTAGTTAGCTTACAGTTGTGTGACCTGCACCCCAAACAGCTGGATTGAGTAAACCATTGGGAAGCTGACCACTGGAAATAGATCATGCAATGAATATTCATTGGTGTCTGAAGTTGCTTTCTTCTTCATTTTTCTTTGGGTAATGCATGTTAATCTTCACAGATTTTTGGATAGAAATGATTTTGCATATTATTCATTTTATATTAGCCATTGAGAACTTTTTCAGCTAAATGTCAGAATAAAAATACTTCAATGAATTAGCAGAGATAAACTATACTGTATAGAGCCTTTTCTTTTTAATAATACTTAATCAGTTCCAGATCAAGCTATTTCACAGTCCTTATCTGAAACTTAGAGTATTAAAAAAGGACCTTAGAAATCAGAGTTCAAATCAGAATTCAGCCATTAAACTCAGATTAATCCTGGGCCAACCATTTGTCACTCAGGCAGGTCTCTCACACACACAGCTGGATCAGCAAGTGCAGGTTTCAGGCCACCAGAATACAGGATCTCCAAAAAGAGTTGTGGCAAATGTCATAGGTAACTTGGAGGTTTGGATGTAAATAAATTTCTAAAGCGCTAATCTGCATTTCCATATATTTTTAGTTTTTATTTTCTCTGATAGCAGCAGCCTTAAGGGCAGCAGCCTTCCTTTCTCCTCATTCCTTTAGATCAACCCCAGTCATAAACTTTCTTTGGCCTGTTGTCTTAGCACTTTGCTTCATCTTCCTTTTTAAAGTTCATGCTTTTTCAGATCTTTTGCCTATTTTAGTCCTATTTTAAATAGTTTCTATAATCTTTTTCAGCTGAATGCAGATTAAAGCTGCAGTTGTACAATTACCTGCCATTTCTAGCTTTAAGGCAAATAATTCCCACTACAAAATCCCATAGTATGTCACCATACAGCTTTCCACTGGCATAACTAGTACATGTAGTTAATGTTGGTCTACCCTTCTTCCTTTAGTCTTGCCAGTTCATCTCCACCTCTTCTTTAAAATATGAGAATTTTTTAAAAAATCCACTGAGCGTGAACAATTTACTTCTGAGTAAATATAGCTAGACAAATAGAAAGCCATTTATCAAAATCTAAATACTATCCTTGCTGGAGAAGACTCTTAAGAGTCCCCTGGAGTGCTAGGAGGTCAAACCAGTCAATCTTAAAGGAAATCAACCCTGATTGCTCATTGGAAGGATTGATGATGAAGCTCAAGCTCAGATACCTTGGTCACCTAATGCGAAGAGAAGACTCTTTGGAAAAGACCCTGATGCTGAGAAAGATTGAAGGCAAAAGGAGATGAGGATGAGATGGTTAGATAGCATCACCGAAGCAATGAGCATGAAACTGAGCAAACTCAGGGAG